AAAAGGTTTAATGGTGATATGATTTGGATCTGTGTCCCTGCCCAAGTCTCATGTTGAAATATAATCCCCAATGCTGGAGGTGGGGCCTGGTGGGAGTTGACTGGATCATGGGGGCAGTTTCCCATGGTTTAATTCATCTCCCTTTGTGCTGTTGTCGTGATAGTTCTCATGAAATATCGTTATTTAAAAGTGTGTGGCACCTGACCTCCTCTTCCTCCTGCTCTGGCCATGTAAGATGTACCTGCTTAGCCTTCCTCCATGATTGAAAGTTTCGTTCAGAAGCCAAGCACATGCTGCCAAGCTTCCTGCACTGCCGAATTGTAAGCCAATTAACCTCTTTTCTTATAAATTACTCAGGTATTTCTTTTTTCTTTTCTTTTTCTTTTGAGACAAAGTCTCGTTCTGTTGTCCAGGCTGGAGTGCCGTGGTGCAATCTTGGCTCACTGCAACCTCCGCCTCCCAGGTTCAAGTGTTTCTCCTGCCTCAGCCTCCTGAGTAGCTGGGACTACAGGCGTGCACCACCACGCCCAGCTAATTTTTGTAATTTTAGTAGAGACAAGGTTTCCCATGTTGGCCAGGCTGGTCTTGAATGACTGGACTCCTGATGTGCCTGCCTCGACCTCCCAAAGTGCTAGGATTACAGGCGTCAGCCACCATGCCCAGCCACTCAGGTATTGCTTTACAGCAACGTGAGAATGAACTAATACACATGTTCAGCAAATACAGCATTCAAATTTCCTCAGTAGAAATACCCCTGTAGTTATGATGGCTATCATGGGCCATCTTGGCTTGGTGAACAAGCCATTTATATTATTCAACTCAGTCACTCTTTCTCAAAGCCAGGCTCAACAAAATATGCTATAAATGTTATTTTGCTCCCTTGGTACCTTTCAGTAAATGCAAACATTTCATTCAATTTGCTTACAAGCATATTCTAATGAATTAGGTTAACATGTGCAGTGGACATGCTAATTGAATTACCTGTCTTTTGCTAAGTAGGCATTGGGGCATCATTAGGTAGCAATACCTAGGCAAGTGTCCATGTCAGGTCTAACCATAATCATGTGCCCACACTTTTTTTTTTCTTTTTGAGATTGTATCTCACTCTGTCACCCAGGCTGGAGTGCAGTGACATAATCTTGGCTCACTGCAACCTCTGCTTCCCAGGTACAAGCGATTCTCATGCCTTAGCCTCCCGAGTAGCTGGCATTACAGGCACATGCCACCAAACCAGGCTAATTTTATTTTTAGTAGAGATGGGGTTTTACCATGTTGGCCAGGCTGGTCTCGAACTCCTGACCTCAAGTGATCCGCCCACCCTGGCCTCCCAAATTTCTGGGATTACAGGTGTGAGCCACCATGCCCGGCCCAATGACTGAATTTGTTACAAACAGCTAAGCACTATTTCATTCCCTTTCACTGGAAGAATGTGGAAAAGAAAGGAAACTTCTATTAGAAGGGACGTACATGCAAGAAATACAGCTACTTTGGTGATGAATGCCTTGATGGGGGACATAATCACCGGGAAAAATGAGACATGCTTACCTGCCCACTGCTCCAGTTGCTCCCATCACCAGAGCACTCAACAGTTGCTAATCAGAAACAAAGAATATTTGCTTTTGTAAAAAAAGAATGAGAAGAGATGCTACTATATAAATAGCTACACAAATTGTTTTGGAGGGAACTGACCTGCTGCAACGTGCTAGGGGGTGACTTACCTCATCCACTCCAAAAAGGAAAGCAAATTGTTGCTGGCGATTCTGATCAACACATTGGCCGAAGTCTAAGAGATCTGTATCACTGAATTTCAGCCCTTGGAAGGTAGGGATCTTATCTTGAATCCCGTCCAACAACTCCTCAGCACGAACTGTTCAAAACAATAAGTGCCTCATTCATCTGCATCTCTAGGAAATAACATCTCGTACAGTGTCACACATCTGCAATGAGCTGCCACATGCTGCTGTCAGCCAGAACTGACTGCAGACTGGGCATAATCACTTGTGCCTGACTAGCAGCTCCTATGTACTTGTCCAATTATAATCCTAAACTTTCCATTCCTTGTGAAGTGTAAATATCTATTTGGTCTTAGTCCCTGGTTCCTGAGACAAAGTACCTAAAACCCTTATAGACAGGGATGCTAGGAGAATATTTATTCTAACATTTGGTCTTCAACCCTGATTCCTGACACTCTCAAGACCTTTGTAATTTCCTGAGTGATAGGAGCATCTGACACAGAGCTCTTATATCCCTTGGAATCTACAAAATGATATGTATATTTCTGTACCCTATGAAGTTGACTGATGGCTGGATCTCCTAGATAGCCTCAAGATGAGGGCTAGTAGCCAGGAAACCAACCATGTGCTTAGAGGGTTGGAACTTTCAGTCACACCCTTGGTCTCTGGGGAGGAGAGGGGAACTAAAGATTGAGTTGATCAACGATGGCCAGTGATGTACTCAATAATGCCTACATAATGAAGCCTCCATCAAACCCCAAAAGAACAGGGCTTCTGGGTTGCTGAACACATGAAGGTGCCTGGCGGATGGCTTGTTCGGAGAGGGCACGAAATCTCCATGCCCCTTCTCACGTATCTTACCCTATGCATCTCTTCCTCTGGTTGTTTATCTGTATCCTTTGTAATAAATGGGCAATAGTTAGTAAAGTGCTTCTCTGAGTTCTGTGACCTACTGCAGCACATTTATTGAACCCAAAGAGGAGGTCAGTGGAACCCTGATTTATAGCTGGTCAGAAGTACAGGCCACAGCCTGGGACTTGAGACTGGCATTGAAGTGGGGGCAGTCCTGTGGGACTAAGCCCTTAACCTCTGGGATCCAATGCCAACTCCAGAAGACAGTGTCAGAACTGAATCCAATTAGAGGACACCCAGTTAGTCTCTGATGAAGAACTGGTTGTTGGGGGGAGAAATGCCCACACACATTTTGGTGGCCAGAGGTAAGATGTTTTGCGTTGAGTGGTAAGCATGAGAGTAGAGAATAGGAAAAGCAGGGGATTTTTTTTCCTCAGAGTGTTTATAAAGTACAGTTGAGTGGTAAGTATGAGAGTAGAGAATAGGAAAAGCAGTTTTCCTCAGAATGTTTATAAAATACAGCCTCTATTTTTCCTCTTATGGAATTTAAAAAAAGAGTAGGATTTTAAAATTAATCTAAGACTTCATCTAATTGTAAAACTCTTCTCTCTGAAGAAATACAGTAATAATAAAAGAAAAGCTAGAAGAGAAGTCAAAAGAGATCAGAGGACTTTCGTGTGTGCTACAGGCACTAAGAATACAACAGGTTCAAGGCAGACACACTCCTGTCCTAGTGAGGGATACAGACTCATGTCTTCTCAGTAAGAAGAAGGGGTGTATGTGATAGAGACAAAAGGCATATGCTACAAGTGTCCAGAGATCAAATTTCCTTTCATACCTAACAACTTCCATTATACGGCAGTGTGAATGATTGATAAGGCGTGGGTCTTTAGAGTGAAATTTAGGAACAATGGGAGCTGCCCAGTTAATGGTGGTGGGCTTTTGCGGCATGGGTTAGGGTGGGATGGAGTGGTTTCTTAGCATAATAGGGTAAGATGTGAGAGTTGGGAGGAAAGAAATATCAAAAGAAGCAGTACTTACTCTTTACTCCTGTCAAGGCAGGAATGTGATAGTAATAAAATGGCAGAGCAGGGGCAGCAGCAGCCACTTCCTTTAGGAAATTAATCAGGACATCTGAAAGAACAGCAGGAACAGTCATGGTGTGAACAGGTGTAAAACAGTGGCTTTCCTTGGTTAAAAAAAAAAAAGAATCACCTGATGAAACAACCACGTTTCTCAGAAGCCTCAAATTCTCAACCACTCTTACCATCCCTGCTATTGCAATGTTTTTGCAACTTACTTCCTTCAAAGTTTTATTTTCCTTTCTGTAGAAAGCCCAAAACAAGATGGTTATTCTCCTACCATACTAAACTCTATTAAAAAAAAAAAATTGATGAAAACCTTCCCACATATTAAGAGATGATCATGAAATACATTTATAAAAATAGAAGTCCATCACATAAGACTCTTGTCTTCTTACTCCAAAAAGGCTAAGTGTGGACAGTAAACAACAGAGACTACTATAGAAAATAGATCAGAATAATAAGGTTGTAATTAAGAAAATTCTGTAACAAAAAGATAAACAATATCTGCTTCAAGATATAAGTTATAGGAGTAGGGGCACATTTCACAAGATTTCCAGCAAAATTTGGTACTTTTCCCTTTGGGGAGAAATCCAGACACCCTGGTTTGCTGAGGAAGTGGGGTTTCCTATATCATCTCATGGGAGCTTCGCTTGTAGCACTACTGCAGATGATAGGTCTAGCAGCACTCCTCATGTTTTAGATGCCACTAGGTAATGGGAGAATTTTATGTACATCATCTGAATACTGTTATGATGTGTATTCAGTCTAGGATAATATTTCTGACAAATTATTATGCATAGATTCATTGTTTTTCCTTTTAGGAAAAATATTCATTTAAAAATTTATAAAGCCATGTGAAAAAATTTTTAAATGTTGGGCTGGACACAGTGGCTCATGCCTGTAATCCCAGCACTTTGGGAGGCTAAGGCAGGAGGATCAGCTGAGACCAAGAATTCAAGCTCTTCCTGTGAAAGATCATACCAACATCTCATCCCTACAAAAAAATTAAAAAAAAAATTAGCTGGGCATGGTGGCACAGGCCTGTAAATCCCAGCTACTTGGGAGGCCAAGGGAGGAGGGTTGCTTGAGCCCAGTAGTTCAAGGCTGCAGAGAGCTATGATCATGCCACTATACTCCAGCCTGGGTGACAAAGCAAGACCCCCATCTCTAAAAAACAAATAATTAAAAAAATTTTAAACTTTTAAAATGTTCATTTTAAACTCCCTTTTTATAAATATTAAATTACTTATCTACATGAGCTATTTTCTATGCCACAATAATAGGTGATATTTCCTGATGATTTAGAGCTATTATACATTTAATTATGGATTTACTGCATCGTGTAGGCAAATAATGTCTGTTTTTATCCTTCTAAAATTTATATTTCCTAAAATTTATATTTCTTTTTTGGCTAATCAAAAAGGATTAAAAATACTTAGTATAATTAGATACCATAAATAGTTTCCACAGAGAAAGCAGTGGAGAAAGAGAAAGCAATACTTCGGTATTTCGGAAGGCAATGAATATTTTTGTGAAATCTCTTAAAATTCATTTACTCAACCTTGAACAGGATATGTAGTCTCAAAATGCCCATCACTTATATTCTTCTAAGTAAAATGGTCCCATGCTTTGCCATGTGACTGACACCCTATGTAACTCACTGGTCCAGGAGCAGACATTTGACCCAAACATAGGCATCTACAAATCAACCAGGGGCTCAGTGGATAACGCAATCAGATTACTGGGCAAAAGAACTGAAGTACTTTAAGGCAGTCTCTTTTATTATCCAGGGAGAGCAAATATTTCAGAGTACCACTGTAGCACTGCAACTTCAAGCCTCCAATCTACAGTACTTTACTTTCACAAATTAAATATAACCATTTTGAATGGAGGCAAGAAGAAGTGGACCATGTGAGTTGCCATGCATTCAGACCTATCCACTTACCTTTGGACCATGGCTTGAGGAAGAACGGTGCAATGACAGCAATGCCATCGGCTCCTATTTCTGCTGCATGTTGGGCCTTTAAAGGAAAAACGATGACCATATTGGAACAAGTGATTTATTATAGTTACCTACAGCTTAGATAGTAAGGTCTGTAACAAGCTCTTCAAATTTGCCTAATGATGCACCACTGGAGAGTGGGGAAATTAGCCAAATTTAATGAACGTCATTGCCAGGAAAATCCCAGGTTGCAAAGTAAAGCTCCTTGATGAAGGTGAGCTATGCACTTAATCTTATACTTCTTCATATTTTGGCAGTACAAAAAACCTTGCTCAGGAGACATAAATGGTTCATTTTGATGAGTTGTAACTGTTAATTGAGATATCTGCTGATGTAATTTCTCTTCTGTTCAGTCCATTGATGATACTATCTTTGCTGTAAATGACATGACAGTTGTATTTTACAATCTGTATTACAGATTGGGAATGCAGTTGAGACAGGCTGAAAATGAAAAGCTGATACACATCACAGAAGATACTTTACACCATGTTTCTGATATTTTCTCAGATTCCTCCAGAAAAAAGTATTTCCCCTTGCTGGGCACTTGTAACGCATTTTATCTATTTCAAATAAAGTACCTAAACCTACCCGGTGGTAAGGCAGTTGTGTATGGTGACTGTCCTCCAACCAGAGTCTAAGTCCCTCAGAACAGGGCTCAGATCTTGCTCACCCTTGAGTCCAGGTCAATCATGGTACTGGGCACATAGCAAGGAACCAGCAGATGCTTGTTGATTGTTTCAAAATATGCCCCACTATCTAAAAAGGGACAAGGGCTTCCTTCTGAGACTTTGACTTATACTATCTATATCTAATAGACATGATTATCTTTCGCAGAAGTAAACTAGCACAGTTAAAAGGAGAAGACTGGGATATACTCCAGTGAAGGCACTGGGATTAATTTCATTAACACAGGATCAGAATGTGATATATTTAAATCATTTGCTTAGTACTCTGTTTAGAAAAAGAGTAGAAAAGTAACCTTAGCTGAAATCAAGGAAAGAGGAAACACCTAAGAGAGTCGATGGCAGTGTCCATTTGAGCATCATCCAATAAAGAGTTACGGCTAAGCAGATGCTAATGTTATTGTCTCTTTGACAAGACTACCCCTATACCAGGAGATTATCCCTATACCAAAGAATTATTCATTCCAAGTTTACCTCTATACCATTCTGGTGTTCAGCCCAATAGATGATACTGTCATTCATATCATTACATGATAATATTTTAAAATTTATATTATGCATTGGAAAAGAAACAATTGAAAAGAGAGAAAAAAGAAAAATATACACCATACTGCCTTAGTTGAAAAACCTTTTGTAAGAATAGCAAATCAAATGTAAGAATAATAAATCAAGTCTCTAAATTCTCATTCAACATTTATTAAGGCTAATGATAGATCTTCCTTTGCAGCTTGCCTAAAGCACTAAATTGCAATTTTTTTGGCAAATATATATTATACATCCCATTTCTAAATCCAAATAATAGCCAAAACAAACCAAACCCATTAAGAAGAAGCTGGGCCAGAAAAAGTCATTATAACCTTTGGAGTTAAAATATCTAAGTTCTGAAAACATGGTTAATTTGTAGTAGTCCAGGCACAGGGTCTTCTGATGAACAACTTTAAATATCTTTATTCTTTCTTTTCTTAACCAATTCACCCAGGCCTCAGAATCACCACACCACTTGCTTTTCTGCCACCTAACCTGCTAATCCCTAAACCTGGAGCAATCCAATTGTCTGTATTCTTCTTCCTATGTTCTGTGTACCAGGAAAAAAATTCCATAACTGTGATGAAGGATGGTATGACAAATTTATGACTTACAACTTAAGTTAGTTTTCAGCATCACTGAGCAATCCCTTTTGTGTTTTAGCTCCCTCTCCCTTTCTCCAATGCAGAATTCACATTTGCCATTCTTCAAGCCTTTATCAATTTGCCCCTCAGTGCCCTGCAGATGGCACTGCCTTCTACTTCCCAGAGAAAACAGAAATTGGCTCAAGTTCTGCTCCTTACCTACAAACTCAGCTACAGCTGCATCCATCCTTACTCTTCTTGGAGGAAGGTGCCTCCATGTCCTATCCTACAGTCATCATCTGGAGCTACAACCCTTTCTCTGTGGCTCAGTGCCTGCTTCTGCAGTGAGCCCCTGAGATCCTACACCTTATCTTTTCAGGCACAGCATCCACCACATAGCAAATATTGTATTGATTTTAACTGCAGCACAAAAATGGATGCCCCTTGAGTGGTCTCTCCCGGATGGAGCTGCATACATACCAGCTCTTGTGACTCCTTCAAGCTCAGTGCTCCTACATGAATTACCACCTGATCCAGCCTGCAAAAGAGAAAACACTGCTGCATCGCGTAGAGTTTAGAGGAATGCAGAAGGGCTGCACTATCCTGGTTTGCACTGGTTTTAGCAGTTAACTGATGCCTTCTTAGTCTCACTTATTAAGTTCTATAGCAACATATTTAAAATTAATCTACCTAAAGAGGCTTATGGTGATCTTTTTAACATAGATCATTAATATCAAAGTCTGGTCATGTTACTGAGAGGTTGGTTGTGATTTGACCGTGCCTAGGATGATTTTGATATCACAGCAGAATAGAGTCAACCTCAAAGGACGTAATTAAAGGCAAGATTAAAATGGTATTCCATTTCTTCCTTTCTGTAGGAATACAGCCATTCCTGCAACGACTTCATTCAGAGCCAGTGGGAAGGTGGTACGTTTATACAGTATCATGGAGGTTTCATGTTGCCAACAGCAGAAGTATATGCTGAAAACCATTAAACATGTACAGACATGGGATTCATCTCGCATTAACTTAGAGACAGAGGATCACAGAGATAATTTAGCCCATTATCTTAAAGGTAAGTAAATTGGAGTCTGTAGAGATTAGTTTTATATCCATGCTTACATAAAAAAAAAACTTCTAAGTTGTGATAAAAGACACAAAACTTAAAAATCAATTCTAGGTTGGGTATGCAGTGGCTCATACCTATAATCCCAGTACTTTGAGAGGCCAACTTGAGCAGATTGCATGAGCTCAGGAGTTCAAGACCAGCCTGACCAACATGGAGAAACCCCATCTCTACTAAAAATAAAAAAAAGTAGCCGGGCATGGTGGCACGTGCTTATAATCCCAGCTACTCAGGAGGATGAGGCAGGAGAATTGCTTGAATCTGGGAGGCAGAGGTTGCAGTTTGCCGAGATCGTGCCACTGCACTCCAGCCAGGGCAACAAGAGCAAAACTACATCTCAAAAAATAAATAAATAAATGAAAACAAACAAATTCTAATGGAAATAAAGGATCTAGTTTAATCATGTTAGAGTCAATAATTTACGTGTCAGGTGTCAGCTGCTACATATGATTTTTGTAAATAAATGATATTGCATATATTTATATAACAGTGCTTTGCATATATCTGGTACTGGCTAATATTTGTTGACTTAGAATGTAAATTGAAAAAAAAAAAAATCAAGATGCCAACGGTGAATCAAGCACTAGGGAAGAAATCTAATTGGGAGGTGGTACAACATAACTGTTAAGAACTTATATCCTGGGTGCAGTGGCTCACAGTAAATGCTTAATAAATATTACCGGTTATTACTGTTAAGCCTTAAGAATAGAGCCTTAAAGAAAAAAAATGGGACAACAAAAAAGAAAAAAAAAGAATAGAGTCTTTGATGCTGTAAAAAATATAGAAAACAGTAAAGATACGGACTCATTAGGGATTTAAAAAAATTTTTGGGAATGGAATTTAAGGTTCAGTTAAGCAGAATTTGAAAAACAATAACTGATTAATCAATACATGAGTACTTAATCTGGTTAAGCATGGTTTTAGATGCTGTATTTGGTGGTGTCATGTGCATGAAGATGGGTATGATACTGAGATATTTTTGGAGATAAAAATTGTTTCCTCAAAGAGTCCAACCAGGAACTAGTCCTGTGGGCAGTGAATTCACTTTAAAAAGCAACGTCCTATCTTGCAAATCTCCTCAGAATTTGGCCAAAAGAGGATAGTTGCTCTCATACCCCAATGGTCATTTTTGGGGGTACTCCATGTTCCATCTGGGGAGAGGCTACAGTGAGACTGGTCTTCTAAAAGTGGGATTAATAATGTTCAGCCATGAATGCAGTCATCCCAGTGAGTCTTCTGAAGGACACTGAATAACACATACCGTCATGAGACAGAGACACAACGTTCCTGTTTAGGCCCAATCACGGAGTCCTCTAGGGGTTCCTGCTAGCTCTGTCTTAGGTAAAACAGGACCCAGCTGGGAAGTGACACGATCAGGTTTGTATTTTTAAAGAATAGAAGACTTCTGAATGGAAAAAGGAGGGCTGACTGACCTGTTGGACTCTCACCAGCAGTTTTATTGCATGACCCCTTCCTTCACTACCCCTTTCTTTTGCCTTAGGTGAAGCCAATCATCCATTTGCTCTTCCCCTTTCTCCTGGGCTGCTAGATACAGCTACTACTGTTAGAAATTTAAAATACACATTTCCTAGTAATCTCCCAATCCAGGAGAGGGCTCCAATGAGCCTTCTGGCTGTTATGACTCATTTCCCTGGAGTAGCTACTCCAAATCTTGACTATTCCTGTCAAGCTCTAAATTCTTACCAATTACTTGTTCTGGGCAGATGTCTGAGTCCCAGAGACCAAAGATGAAGCAGCTTTCAAACACAGACTCCCTTACCCTTCCTCCTCTCCACCTGTGTGTGGGGCTACATCACCGTTTGCTTTCCTCCTAGCTTCTCAGCTTTTTTTTTTTTTTTTTTTTTTTTTTTTTGGTTTGTTTGTTTGTTTTTTTTGAGACGGAGTTTTGTTCTGTCACCCAGGCTGGAGTGCAGTGGAGTGATCTTGGCTCACTGCAACCTCTGTCTTCCAGGTTCAAGCAATTCTCCTGCCTCAGCCTCCTGATTAGCTGGGATTACAGGTGCTTGCCACCATGCCCAGCTAATTTTTGTATTTTAGTTGAGGCAGGGTTTCCCCATGCTGGCCAGGTTGGTGTCGAACTCATGATCTGCCTGCCTCAGCCTCCCAAAGTGCTGGGATTATAGGTGTGAGCCACTGTGCCCAGCTGGTGTTATATCTTTAAGACCCAATATAAATATTGAGTTGAATCAATTTCTGATCAATTCATCAGGATGTAATCCTATCATCAGTGGAGAAACATCTGTATTTCAAACTCCTAGCCAACCCCCCATCCAAGACCTTTCATCAGAGTTATAAATTCACCACTTTTTTTTTTTTTCTTTTTTTTAAGACAGGGTCTTGCTCTGTCACCCAGGCTGGGGTGTAGTGGTGTGATTTTGGCTCACTGCAACCTCTATCCCCCCAGGCTGAAGTGATCCTCCTGTCTCAGCTTCCCAAGTGGCTGGGACCACAGGGGCATACCACTATGCCTGGCTAATTTTTTTTTTTTTTTTTTTTGTAGAAATGGGGTCTTCATATGTTGCCTAGGCTGGTCCTGATCTCCTGGGCTCAAGCAATCTGCCTGCCTAGGCCTCCCAAAGTGCTGGGATGTCAAGTGTGAACCACTGTACCCTGCCAAGGTTTACTGGTCTTTTATGTATCTTTAATCTCGTCTCCCCTGGCAGTTTTTCAGCATAGAAACATGCTCAACATTTTTCCACTTAACGAAACTGTCCTCCTTTCAATCTTGCCTATTCCTTCCTAATCTACTACTCCATCTCTCCTCTCCTTCCCTTTGCCAGAAATCTCTCTGTGAGGATCAGCTGCACTCACTGCCCACACGTGCAGATGTCTGCTGCATGCTATAGCTCACTGCAGTCTGGCTCCTCTACAATAACCTGACTGGCCCCACTCTCAGAGGTCATCAGTGACTTCCTGTGGTATGTCAAACCTAGTGGTTTTCTCAGTCTTTCATATGCTGACTTTCATGGCATCTAATAGTTATTATAACAAATGTTATAATGAACACAGCACCTACTGCATCTACTGCAAATAGTTACAATGAATTCTTACGTTAGTGTGAATGTGTTACGTGAATGATGCTTGCCAGGCACTGTTGTAATCCTCACTACAACCTCCTCAGTGAGGTACTATTATTATTTTTACTTTAGGAGTGAGGCACATAGAAGTTGGGTGATGTGCCTGAGTCCCCAAAGCTAATAAAAAGCAGAGCTGGGCCTCAAACAGACAGTGGGGCTCTATGGCCCCTGCTACACTGGCGCTCTCTGAAATCATTCTCCTCCCTGGCTGCAGTGACCAGACCCACTCCCAACCACCCTCCTACCCCCGAGGGCTTTCTGTCTCTGCCTACTTCCCTGTCCCTCATTTTTGGTACTGTTCTTAATGTGTACCCTTAGCCTTCCTGTTTTCACACTCTGCCCATGGTCCTTAATCTTTTTGGACCCTAGATGCCACAAAATTGACTGAAAGCTGATGGTTCACCAGAAAATGCTTCCATGAATATGCACTCAAACTTGGCACGTAATTTCAGAGTACTGGAGGTGCCCTGAAGCCATGAAGGCTTCCCAAGGACATCATGGGCTTCACACTGACAACCTCTGCTCACTTACCTCTGGTCTTTTACCTCCACCTAAGGCAACATTGATTATTCCCTTCTTGTTTATACATTCATCAGAAGGGCTGGGGTGTTACTTTTCATGATCTAATATCCTTACCGGATGGTCGGCAACCTGAAGGCAGAGCTCCTACTTTATATTGCTGGTGCCTAGCACAGTACATGACATATAACAACGTAACAATCAATAAAACTTAGTTAACTGGCAGTGCTTATGGAACTGATACTATCCTGTTTGTTCAACCATAGTATGAATTGGGTGTTACAAAATATATGCATGGAAGTTTAGGAGCTACAGAAAGTCCTCAAACAGCGCAAGAGGAAGCACCATAAAAGAGCACGTTGAGTTGGATACACAGAGACCTATAAGGAGAAATGGGCCAATACAAGCATCAGGTGCTCATCCCAAGAAGGGAAGGGGTGTGAGTTGCTCAGTGGAAGGGCCAGGTTACCAGCAGAGTCCGTCACCACCCTCCCGTCTTATCCTTCAGCCCAAGGATGGGTAACTGTGAGGGGATTGGCCTTGGAGACAGATAAGAGGCAGTTTCTCAATGGAGTCTCTGGGAGGCAGGTGTGCCTAGCAGTTTGGCTATCCTGCACAGAAAGGGAGGGGGCTCTTCTCCAAGGAGCCAGGATTCCTGGGGCCCTGCTCATCTTCCCACCAGCTGACCTTGAGCCCAGGCTCTGACCAGAAAGCAGGGAGGCTGTATCCTCTGGGGAAGAGGCTCACTGAATACAGCTGTTGCCAAAAAGCATTTTTATCCTGGGCAGCCACTCACTTGTCCTTCCCTTTTGTCACCCACTCCTCTGCAACCTGGCGACGCTCTGAGACGCTCAGGGACAGGCCTTCTCCCGTTGTGCCATTCACTGTTCCAAATAAAGAGTAAGTCAGTGAGACCAAGGCATACCTCTGCTCCTCCCACCCTGAGTCTGAAAAGCACACGGTCAGAAATTTCTGCACTGAGGATGGTCAGGAGGGGAAAATGCCACATTTCCATTTTCACTTCAAACTCCATCTTTTTCCCACCTTCACCTTGTCAAAAGCAGTGGGAAGGTTAACTGTGACTCGTAATTATAAATCTGACCTTGATATCAGGGAAAGACAGAAAATATTTTAAATGAAGACAGAGATGACTGCCGACATTTTACATCAATCTCCAGACACACCACCCAGTTTTATATCTGGGCTTGAATGGTAGGAAAATCAACACCATCTAGTACCAGCATGTCAAATAAGTGGGAGTTACTCACGTGGGTGCTTTTGTGTGCTACAGATCTCAAACTATCTCCATTTACAGTTTGACATGATAGTAGTGCTCTAGGACAACTCACTTTTTAAATATTTCATAAATAAGCACAAAGGATGTTAATATTTCTTACACCAAGTGTTCTTACATATTCACTTACTCTCACAACGACCCAGCAAAGTAGAAATTATTTTTCTCATTTGTAGATGAAAACACAAGGTCTGAAACAGTAAATAGGTTTGAATCCAGAGCTGTGTGATTCCAAAACTCATCTTTCTTCTTTTCCTTCTACTACAATCATTTCTTAGTGGGTCACAGAAAGATGCCTATGGCAGTAGGATGCGTTACTGAGGTCTCATGCATATGGTGGCACTCTGAATCTCTAAGCACTCAGCACTGGGTTGGAAGAGGGGAGGTTTGGGGAGGCTGGGGAGGGAAGTCAGAAAGTATTTTTAATCACTCCTTTGGGGTTTTGACTTCAAGTATGCTCCAGTCATAGGGATATTCCTGCTTTTTCCTCATACCCAGGGGAGACCTGCTGCCCTTTGTGGAGTCAGCATCTGCCTTCCCCACTATGGCTTAGTGCTATAGAGGGACGTTGAGTGGTTTTGTAATCAGGTTTCGGTTTTGACGTGGTCCAGGGCACTTCTTCACACAAGTTTTAATCTGCTCTGATTATTATTACAGGTACCTCCAGCTCTGGAGGGGCTCTGTCGGTAGAGCAGTAGCTCAGAGTCAAGGTGTAGTGTCCTCAGAATAAAAATGCATCTAACAGTCTGAGAACCCAGAACACCATACAAGGGACAGCTCAACCGCAGGTAAGTATGTTAAAAATGCTCAAGATCCAATTTTTTTAAACTTTCACTTTCTAGGAAATAAATGGAGATAAGTACTAATCCTGTGATTTCTTTGTGTGCTACATTTAGAGTCTTCCTTTCATTCACAATTTGAAAAGCCAAGTAAAGAGAGAATAAAGTCAATTCTTAAGAGAGAGAAGAGGCTGGGCGGGGTTGCTCACTCCTATAATCCCAGCACTTTGGGAGTTTGAGGCGGGTGGGTTACCTGAGGTCAGGAGTTTGAAACCAGCCTGGTCAACATGGCGAAATCCCGTCTCTACTAAAAATACAAAAATTAGCTGAGTGTGGTGGTGTGTGCCTATAGTCTAGCTACTTGGGAAGCTGAGACAGGAGAACTGCTTGAACCTGAGAGGCGGAAGTTGCAGTGAGCCAAGACTGTGCCACTGCATTCCAACCTGGGGGGAGACAGAGCAAGACTCCATCTCAAAAAAGAGGCCAAGGCAGGCAGATCATGAGGTCAGAAGTTTGAGACCAGCCTGGCCAACATGGTGAAACCCCCTCTACTAAAAATACAAAAATTAGCCAGGTATGGTGGTGGGCACCTGTAATCCCAGCTACTAGGAAGGCCAAGGCAGGAGAATTGCTTGAACTTGGAAGGTGAGGTTGCAGTGAGTCGAGATTGCGCCATTGCACTCCAGCCTGGGCAACAAGAGCAAACTCCATCTCAAAAAAAAAAAAAAAAAAAAAATAGAGAGAAGGTGGTTTAGTTGTTACTTAAGAGGGTTTAGTTGTTATTCTACCACTTCTTGGCTGAATGGCCTGGAGCAACTAGGGTATATCTGAGTCATATATTTTCATCTCTAAATGGGGATAAAAATAATACCTTAAGTGCTGGCACACCATCAAATGAGGTAATCTCTTGAGGTGCTTTGTAGGTCTAACAGTGGTGGGTCTACAGATTCACAAATTTTAGTTAGCTTAGCCAGGCTCCATCATAACTTATGACAGCATGACTCTGTGACCTCTTGGCTGGTAACCAGGTGAGATATACCTTCTAAAGACCGAGCTGGAGACATATAGAGACATCACCAGGGTTGACTTACCAAAGATGTTCTTCACTCCCTGCTCTTTCACAAGATAATCCACATACTGACCAATTACTGAAAAGTTGATTTCTCTAGAAGATGTGGGAAAAATGGGAAAAAATTGCATATTTAGTCTTTTTCAGATTATTCAACAAATCCTCAGGTATATAAACGGCTCCCTCTTGCTAATATTATTAAAAATCCACTCAATTTGTGAAATTCTTAGCCTGCTCTAAATAATGACTGGGCTTTTTACCCCCTGAATCTGGTGATTTCTCCACTCAGCCATGTATGCCTCACTTCTATGAGCAAAACACTATTAGTTATCAACAGAGTCTTTACATTTACACCTCATCACAAGTATTTAAAAACTAGTTATCTAATTATCTTTCTTATTAGAGCCCATATGGCCATGTATCTTTTGCCCATTTTGGGGAAGAGTGGTGGTCAGGGACACGGTTAAATGAGAACTTAACATTTGCCATTTGATCCCAAGTGCTGGGATTACAAGTATGAGCCATCATGTCTGGCCTGTCCCTTCTTGTGTTTTCCCACCCTACTCTCAGGGTACCTAGGTCTATTTTCATTGCTGGAGGCCATTATCCATGATCAATTATTAGGAAGTCACTCAAGAGGATGTAAACATTCATTTCTTAGGCTTACAAGACAGGAAGATTCAATCTTAGTAAGAATTTTAGCCCTGAATATTTGTGACAGCACGTGAAATCTTAAACCCATCTGTATTTGCTGGTTTTATAGTGAAGAAGGTTAACAGTTAGAAAGGAACTTCGTCATCACTTTGCCTCTCAAAGGCAGAACAGCAGCAGCAGCATCTGGGGGACTTTGTTACACATGAAGTATCGCAAGCCCCACACAGTCCTGCTCAGTTAGAATCTGAATTTTAACAAGATCCCCATGTGACCTGCATGCCCTTGGCAATTTGAGGCACATAACCTTGTAAGGATCTGATGCTTAAGGTTAAGGGCACTTTTCTTAAAATCATATTGATTTCAAAATCTAGAAACTGACTCACAAGCAAATTGTATTAGGCAATCTGTCCTCAATCAAAATGCAGGAGGGGAATGATGGGCAATGAAGAGTGAAATCCAAAGAAAAACGGTGCAGCAAGTCTGGGTTAAATGGTTACAGCGTACCCATGGTTACGCCGCCAAGAACACAGAGTGCTAGCTGGCTGCCACTACACTTTTGTCTGTGGGGCCAGAGAATCCTACTTTAAGTTTGGCCTTATTAACATTCTTTTCACCTTTACCTACTGTATTCCTTAAACAACAAAAATAAAACACACAAAAAAATCTGATGTATCTAGAAAACAAAGACATCAAATGGTATTCGTCAAAAGGAATAAGAACAAAAAGACACATGATAGAAAACAACTGACTCTGAGACTAAAAGGAAAGCTACTAAATGCGAAGACTGCACAGGCAATCATGCCTATAACAAGTTCAGAGAAAAGACAGCAGGCCTGAGCCTGCCAGTTGGGAAAAGGTATGTTAAGGCAATTATAAAGCCTGTAAGGGGAGCGAACTCCCTAATTATGGCACATGCCCCCATATCCTAACACTGCTCCCTCCTGGCCTCAGTCTGCACCTGGAACAGCCCAGGTGTTCAGCAAAGGCTGGGCAAAGGAGTGGTGATGTGGGAAGTGACAATGATGAAATAACCATGAGCTCTGCCTTTACAAGCCGCTTAGTACCACTCATGATATTTTGAAATTTCTCTATTAATTGAATAAAGAAGATAGTATACATGATTAAAATAGCAAAATATAATGAAGGTTATGACTGAGTCAAAAATTAAGCGTATGGGGGCTCAGAAGAGAGACTGATAAATGACAGCTAGGGAGGCTGGAAAGAAGACATCTAAGGGCTGGATCTGGATAAATAGGACAAAACCCTATGATCCTCAAACATTTTTTTTTTGAGACAAAGTCTCATTCTGTCTCCCAGGCTGAAGTGCAGTGGTGTAATCATGGCTCACGGCAGCCTTGACCTCCTGGGCTCAAGTGATTCTCTCGCCTCAGCCTCCAAAGTAGCTGGAACCACAGGTGCAGCTAACTTTAAATTTTTCGGTAGAGATGAAGTCTCACTATGTTGCCTAGACTGGTCTCAAACTCCTGGGGTCAAGCGATCCTCCTGCCTCAGCCTCCCAAAGTGTTGGGATTACAAGTGTGAGCCACCACATCCGACCCCTCCAACATTCTTGAGAGATACTGTGTGGCCCTATTCTAGTATCATCCTCTTTTTAGGGAGTTGGCTATACCCTTAGGCAGGTCTAGGTCAGTATGTGAAACTGGAAGCTCCTTCTCTTTCCTCCATGAACTTTATAGTTTGTTGGCCTCAGTGGATACTGCTTCCACCTACAGTCACCTCTTTCCCTCAGGCCTTGCTGGGAGACAGGCTATTCAGCTGACAATTTCACTCAGGGTTAGAGGTCTAATGGGTTATGCATTATCTGTCCCTTCAAGAAAGGAGATAGCGGTTTGCTGCTGCTTATAAAATGCCCTAACCTACAAGAATGATACTAATGGCAGAATTTTGGGGGCAAAATTTTGGGGGCAGTGGCCATCACTCAGAAAATGTTCTTGAATTCAAGTCCTTTTGTAACTACCAGATCTCTTTAGCGAGATCTAGGTTGAAAAGGGCTAACTCTAAATGTGTTTGACTCTGACAATATATTTTTTCCTTAAAGAGTATTTGAAGAGCCAGAAACATCTAATGTCAGGGCTGCTGGGTGTGGTGGCTCATGCCTGTAATCCCAGCACTTTGGGAAGCTGAGGTGGGTGAATCACTTGAGGTCAAGAGTTTGAGACTAGCCTGGCCAACATGGTGAAATCCTGTCTCTACTAAAAATGCAAAAATGAGCTGGGCATATTGGTGGGCACCTGTAGTCCCAGCCTGTAATAGGGAGGCTGAGGCAGGAAGATTGCTTGAAATCAGGAGGTAGAGGTTGCAGTGAGCCAAGATGGTACCACAGCTAGAAATGGGCAAGAGTAGCAGCAGGCCCCACTTCAGAGGACTGGCTGCCCCCAGGTCCCTCAGGCATTTCAGATCCCTGCCTGACTCTGCAGGTGCGAGTTTGCAGCCTTGGGCTGAGATGCTCAGCAGCTCCAAGCACAAATGGAGGTGAAATCATCCAGTGCTGTTATCACGTGTTACATAGGTGCCCAAAACAGAGGGTGAGGGTGACAGTAATTCTCCTTGAGGACTTTGTCCATTTTATTTTACTTTTTGAGACAAGGCCTTGCTCTGTCACCGAGACTGGAGTATAGTGGCATAATCACGCTCACTGCAGCCTCAATTTCCCAGGCTCAAGTGATCCTCTGGCCTCTGCCTCCTCAGTAGCTAGGACTACAGCTGTGTGCCACAACACCCAGCTAATTTTTGTATTTTTTGTAGAGATGGGGTTTTGCCACGTTCCCCAGGCTGGTTTTGAACTCCTGGGCTCAAGCAATCTGCCTGCCTAGGACTCCCATAGTGCTCGAATGACAGGTGTGAGCCATCACGCTTGGCCTATCCCTTCACTTGTTTTCCCACCCTACTCTCTGGGTACCTAGGTCTATTTTCATCACCAGAGGCCATTATCCATGATCAATTACCAGAAGTCACTAGAGAGACTGGAAACAATGAGACTGGATAATTATTCTGCCTACCCACTGGGCATTCGGAGCTCAGTGCTCACAGAAGTGAGTTGAAACAAGTCAATCCACTTGAGTAGGTTGCACTGTACCTTCTCTTCTTTCATGAGCCCCAAGAACACATCTAACAACTGGGCACATCAGGGGAGAGTGACCCAGAACCAAATTCCATGCTTGCTCTAGTTGCTTTTATATTTAAACCCAGTTTAATGTCTTAATTTCAATTACTGGGGATTCAGATTATTTGCCTTGGATTTAGATTCATGCTTTGGAGCCATGAATTTTTGCTGTTATTGTTGAAACAGGGTCTTGCTATGTTGTCTAGGCTGGCCTCAAACTCCTGAATTCAAGTAATCCTCCCACTTCAGCCTCCCAAGTAGCTGGGACTACAGATGTGTGCCACTGTGCCCCATCAATTTTATTTAACTTTTTTTTTTAATTACAAAAGCTATATAGTTTAGTTTAGAAAGTACATACAATAAAAAAAGAAAACCCACTCAGGATATCTCTGGAGATGATTCTTCTTAGTTTGATATTTTTCTATTCACAAATATACATATTATTTTCTTATATAAATATGGCCATATTAGACACAGTTTCATATTTTTCACTCAGCATTCTAATTTTAACATTTCCCCACATTTTTAGATGGTCCATTACTATACTGGCTAAACAGCATTCTATTTTATGGATAAATATAATTACTTTTTCTAATTGTCTGTTCTTGGACATTTAGTTTGCCCAAACTATACAAGCAGAAGAAAGTCTTCTGTTCTTTTTGCCACAAATTGAGGTCTAGAGTGGGTGGACTGTGAAACTGCAGGTAGACTCTACAACTCATCTAGAGTAGAAGGGTAACAGAATTTTTCTGAAGTGGCTTTTCAGAGAGAAATCCCTATTGTTGTTTGTTTCCTGTCCTGGTGCACAAAACATCACGGAAGACTTTTGCTTTAACTGAGAAGGCAGAATCCACAAGACAGGCAGTTTTCATGCCTCACATGATGTGGCATGCGTACTAGAAAATCTGATTTTCCATTTTGCCTTTTATACATATCTCTCGGCATTGAATCAGATAGGAGTTATACATACTCGGCAAAATAGCCACCTGGTTACTTCAAAATTCTTTCAGCGGGGAGGCAGGCAGGGACTAACCTGCCCACCCCGTTGGAGCTGGAAAATGTTCTGTTCTGGGAGTCTGGGTCCCCTCGTCTCCCAAACACTGTTAAAAGACAATAATCTATGCCAATCAGACTCCAGCAAGCCCAGCCTTTTCTCACTGAGGTAAGAGAATTTGTTTCTACCAGAGGGTGTTGTGAAGATTCCCAGGGTGATGACAAGAGCATTTGAGGGAAAAAAACACAACTTTGTTCTTGAAACTTTAGATCTGAAATGGACTTTCTGTTCTAATGACCGTGTGCCTGCCCAAAGAAAAAGTTGAGTTCTTAGAACAACTAAAGAGAGCAAGTCTTGGCCGGGTGCGGTGGCTCATGCCTGTAATCCCAGCACATGGGGAGGCCGAGACGGGCAGATCACTTGAGGTCAGGAGTCTGAGACCAGCCTGGCCAACATGGTGAAACCCTGTCTCTACTAAAAACACAAAAATTAGCTGGGCGTGGTGGTGCATGCCTGTAATCCCAGCTACTCGGGAGGCTGAGGTAGGAGAATTGCTTGAGCTTGGGAGGGAGAGGTTGCAGTGAGCCGAGATCGCACCACTGCACTCCAGCCTGAGCGACACAGCAAGACTTCACCTCAAAAAAAAAAAAAAAAAAAAAAAAAAAAGCAAGTATTTCATTAGACTTGCTAGTGTATAAAAAGGCAAGGGTTGGATAGGTAGAGAATGCCTCCCTTTCTAGCTGTGTGGCTTGGGGCACCTGGGCTAGCCTGTAGGGTCTCAGTTTCTTCAACCGCCAGGACAAAGATAACTACGGCTCCCTCACAGAGCTGTTGCCAAGATTAAGTGGGAACATGTAAATGAAAATGCCTGCATGATGACTGGCATGGCATCAATCAGTGTTCGCTTCCTTCTCTCCCTTTTTTTTTTTTTTTTTGAGACGGAGTTTCGCTCTTGTCACCCAGGCTGGAGTGCAATGGCGCGATCTCGGCTCACCGCAACCTCCGCCTCCTGGGTTCAGGCAATTCTCCTGCCTCAGCCTCCTGAGTAGCTGGGATTACAGGCATGCGCCACCATGCCCAGCTGAATTTTTGTATTTTTTTAGTAGAGACGGGGTTTCACCATGTTGACCAGGATGGTCTCGATCTCTTGACCTCGTGATCCACCCGCCTCGGCCTCCCAAAGTGCTGGGATTACAGGCGTGAGCCACCGCGCCCGGCCTCCTTTTTCTTAACTACGAGCACTAGTCATTCCCATAGTGTATTCACTCATAAAATAACAAAAGGTACCACAGCTATGCCACATGCTTAAGATACAAAGATAAATAACTGCTCAGTCCTTGTGTATTACCTAGCATTCAATACCTATTGAATAGGGCTAAGCAGCTCAAAGCCTGCTGGAAGACATAGGCAAGTAACAAAAAGTTATTTAATAATTATAAACAAATACTTTTAATGCAAGGCAAAAAGCGTGCTTGGAATCACAGGGGAAGAGTATGGACAGGGTGCTATAGAAGGGTCATTGAACTCCTTTTAAGATAATTGGGGGAGAATTTCTAAGGATGGTTTTGATAGATGAGTAGAAGTGTTCAAGTGGAGTAAGAAAAAAAGAGGATGGTGGTAGAAAAAGGCAAAGGAAACAGAATGAGTGGAGACATGGAAGGCAGAAGAGGTACGGTGACAAAGAAATGAAGCAGGAAAAGTAAACCTTGAAGGGCTTCCTATGCCATCCCAGGAAGTCTGCTCATCTCAGACTTTAATGTACTAAAGAATCTTCTGGGACATTGTTAAATGCAGGACTGATCTGTGGTATGATAGGGCCTGAGATTGTGCATTTCTGCCAAGTTCTCATGGTGGTAGAACTGGTCCATTGGCCATATGATGGGTAGCAAGGCTTAGACAAAAGCAGCAAAAGAGTCCCAAAGAGGAGAGTGACATGATCAGATTTATTTACTAGGAAGCTCACTGAGCTGCAGTGTGGACGATGGACTAGAATTACAGGTACTTTATACATTCTTATTTCATGGTGATCCCACAATATCCCCAAGACATAACACCAGAGGACTACAGACTCTTAATAGTTGGAAAGGGTCATAGAGATAATGTGGTTTAACTTTCTTTGAAGAATATGAAAGAGAGCTCTTAAAAGGTGACAAGATCTCCCCAGGCTCAGAGAGCTAACTGGTGGCAAAGCTTGGGGTCCAGGCACCAGATCATTTCACTAAGATCTACCTACCCCTGTTCTTTCCGGCAGCTGCTCTACTCTAGGACATCAACTTACATGCAGAAAGCTGAATTGTTACTGAGCATTCATTGAAATTAAGAAGAAAAAAGGATCCAGGGAAATAGTCCTTGTTCAGCCACTCAGAATTATGGTGGATATGTATACTGTACATGCCAGATTAGGAGAAGTCCCACAGGGGCAGGTCATCTGGCAGTATTTCCAGGTATTAGATTCCATGTGCCCCTTCCTTCCATCTTGGGTCTTGGAAACATGCCAGAAGTGCAGATTCCCTTGTGGGTAAGTAGGTTAATGCCTACATGTTCTTGGTGGGTGTTCCGAAACTGCTTTGTAGCTATAGGAATGTTTGATGGGGCAGGTGGTGGGAGAAAAGGGAACTAACATGGCTCCCGTGCCTAATCCGTGCTATACACTGACCTACACTATTTATTTCTTAAATACCATATACATAATTCATTCTTTTTTTTTTTTTTAATTTCACACCTCAGGAAAGTAAGGTTACTAGAAGAAAAAAGCAGAATTGATGAGAAAATAGTAAAATGGAAGCAGCAGGACCACAGGTTTTTGGGAAATGAGAAAGATCCAGAAAAACAGAGTCATTTTAGTTATCTCTAATCATGGGATCTGGCCTTCCGGGAAAACAGCAGAATAGGGAGGAAGAACACACTCACACTGTTAGTGCATCCCTGATGAACAAACAAGACTGTTTTAAGAAGCCACTTCCAGGATAAGAGGGGTCTTATTAAAAGGTTAAAGTAGCATGGACCAGATGCAGCGTTAGGGGATTACAGGCAGGATCTCACTCTGTAACAGGAAGTAAATCCTGACAATTCATGCAATCACATGTCTTCTGTTTGGTCTGTGAACCAGTGACTGATGCATTGAGAAACAGCTGATGTCAGTCTTTCTTAAAACTTGTGGAAAGGGGAAGTAACAGAAAAAAAATTATTATTAACCAGCTGAGTAATCTGAATGCCAAGTCAGCAAGAATCTTATTTAGACCTAGTAAGGATATGATTTTTCATGGATCTGTTTTGGTAGCCTGACTCTTCTGACAGGTCAAAAACATAGATCCGGATGAACTCTCTTTGGCCAGGGGGCGATGTTCAAGGAAAAGTTATACACAGCGCATGGCTCCCTATGCCACAGGACCTTTTTGTTATCTGATTTCTGAGCAGAAGGACTGCCACTGTATTCCTCTGGAGGTCAAAATACTTTCTTGGGGTAATGATTACTCAACAATCATCTGTCGTTACTTCCCCCCAGCCCTCCGTCTGCCCAACATCTAGTCAATGTTGAAATGAGGCTGTAAACATGAATCAGGAGTCCATCGTGCAGATAACCTCCCACTTTCCTCAGGGTAGGACATTTTCATCAAGTCTATGAACAGCCTGAAGTGGAATCATGCTGACGTCTAGAGACAGGATCCTGAGAGGGGCTAGGACAGTGCTTGATATCAAATTATGCTAAAATGGGATTCTCATCCAATGCTACTGGCCCTGTTTAGAAAGGCCAGGGCTGTGGTGAAATCCAAGGAGAATTTGCTCTGTGGAGCTACAGACACTGGGAGAAAGGCAAGCTGCCATTTCTCACCTTCTCCCTTTCTGCAAGGTGATACAGTGCTTCTCTGACTTTGGGGTCAGAGATAGAGTGCCTCCTCAGACTTGGCGGTCAGAGACAGTGCAGAGGGATGACAGAAGCTGCCTTCTGGCAATAGTTCCACAGAGGTGCAGGGTCTTAAGTGACCGTTACTACAAAGAACTTCTGTCCTTCTTGGTTGAATGAGAACTGATCCCCTCAAGACCCCAAATGATAGTTACCCATTCTCAGTCATTGGCGTGATGGTTGCAGCCACAAGACCCTGAAGTTTCTTCTTTGGGGAGGCCATTGAGCTGCTGGTAGGCCTGGAAAACACACAATGTAATTTCTCTCTTTCTTCAAGGAATGTCAATGATAAAACTCCCAGTCAAAGTCCATTTCTAGTTTAGAACTCTAAATTGTGCTTACAAGTACACAAACACGCAGAGCAAGTATAAGATGGTAAAATTTTAGAGCTTAATTCTATTGAGGAGGAAACTTTAAGACAGGAGAGGGTAGACCTGAAAACATTCTATGTGGACAGGCTCCCATTTTATCTACACAGATGATGGAAGCAATCTAAGACCTCGAAGGATAAAGGTAAACAGCAGCAGGCCCAGGAAAGAGCTTGAACCTAACTCAGGTAAGTAAAATATACAATGAATTATAGCCGTGCCTCAGTATACACAGAGGATCGGTTCCAGGACCCCCACGTATATGAAAATCCACGCCTGCTCAAGTCAGGCAGCCCCAGCCTGGCATATCAGAATTCTGAATCCTGCAAATACTGATTTTCTATCCACTTTTATTTGAAAATAATCCATGTAAATGGACCTGCACACTTCAAATCCATGTAATTCAAGAGTCAACTGTACTATTACTTAAACTGAAATATGGTCATAAAAGGGGACATTTTCTCTTTGCATTGTCTTCATTCTTAAGCTAGAATCTCACCTAAAACAAGCCTGTCTTAAGGTATCATCATGATTTACATAACTACCCTCAGATTTACCTAACTTTTCACATCCTAATTTTGCCCAGTTCTGTCCAGTTTTTGTAGTTCTAGTTAACCATGTAAACTGCATATTCACCTCCCTCTTCCCCACTAGAGCAGGATCCCAGGACAGGGATGTTTCATTTGCCTTTGCTCTCTGCAGTGAGCCCTCTGCTTGACACCAGGTGTTCAACTGAAGAGAGAGGAACACATGGGTGACTGAATGAAGTGATCAGAACTGTGGCTGGATAATGGCTTCCACAGACAGGGAGTTCACCACTGAAAGTGTTAAACTCACACCACTCATTGGGGGCCAAAGGATCTCTCACCATCTGGCAGATTGTACCTGCCCATAATCAATGTAAAAGACTCCAGATGGGCCACAAGAAGCAACAGAGCAGACTGGTTAACTGTCTGGGTCCCACAGGTAGAACACCTGGTTCAACTCACAGCTCTTGACATTTGACCACCTGGTTCAACTTGCAGCTCTGACATTTGCTGGTTGTAGAAGCATTATTGTTTTTTGAGCTATAAGACATAAAAAGCCACAAATGTAACGTCTAACGATTGAAAATAAAATATAATCAGATAGTATTTGATGACAATTCTACAAAAGATAGGGGCCCTTGTAGCAAATAAAGTGATGTCTATAGGTGACCAACAAAGGTTATGCTATAGTTCTGACATTACTGGCACATTCAAAAACCCAATGCCCACTATACTTAAATCTCACCTACATAATGTAGTACTTAGTTATATAAGTTTGTTTTGTTTGCTCTAATTGTTCATCTTATCTTCCCAAATAGGAGAATAAACTTCAGAAGTATACAGACCAGATCTTCTATTTTTCTTCCCCAAGAGTCTTGGCTCAGGTAAGCCCTTGAGAAATACTGACTGCTTTCAGTAGAAAGACAACATGATACTTTCCTTGCAAACAGACATGTTCCCAGAAAGACGTGCTCCTAACATCAAGAGCAAGTCCTGCATGTAGCTTTTCTCTGTATTTCTTAATTCAAACATGAGACCAAAATCAGGCTGGAAGTTTAGAAAGATGAATCTAATAACCTGGACCATGGGAAAACACAAGATAAGAAATCATAAGATGTGGCCCTAATTACCTTCAGTACAATCAACAGGCCACTCAGCCTCTGAGCCTTAAAGGCCAATAACCTAGGCCATCTCCCTCCTGGAGGGATGTTTAAGCATCACAGGAGACTGATGCTATGCCTACTGTACATCTTCACCTAGCACTCCTATAAGCATCTCAACTTAACATGCCCAAAGGGAACCTGCATCTCCTTTGTTCCTTACTGGAGAGGAGTGAGAGGGCCAGCTCTGGAGTCAGGCCTCATGGATCTGCATCCTGGCTCTACCACTTACCAGCTAGGTGACCTTGAGCCCATTAAGTAACCTCTTTCTGCTGTGGTTTCCCCGTCTGTAAAGGAGGATAATAGTAATTGTTTTTCACAAGGTTGTTGAGAGAATTAAATGAACTAATTCATGAAAAGTGACACTGGGCACATAGTATGTGTTCAGTGTCCTCCATGAAGTCTTGCCTGATGTATATAGGACAGTAGAAAATATTATCATGCTCTTACCAGCATCGTCTTCCCAGTCATCTTTGCTCTGCTGGTGCCTCCTTTCCAACCCTTACTACTCTTGTCTATTTAGGGACTAGGTCATTCCAATTCTGTTATCTTCTTCCCCTGCAATTCCTCTTTTCCTCCTTATGCCTTTATAATTTGCCCCTTTGTTACCTCTTATCTAGACCAATAGGCAAAACCTCAGGTCCAAGGGGCCCAAGAACGTTCAAGTGATAAAGAGTCCTGAGAGCCTGAGTCAGCATTAAACATCTCCTAAATCCAACACTACTAGGCTGTTCAGGCTAAATAAAATGCCATATTCTTGTGGTTTTGCCTGCATTTATTTCATAATAAGGACAGTAACACGGATGTTCTTAGAATCATCAGAAGCTCAAACTGGCAATTTTATATGTGCCTTTGATGGAAAGAAATAAAACTAATTACCACAAACATAGTTTGATTAGTTCAAAAATTCAAAACAAGGGGCCTGTGGGAATGTTGGACAGTGGTTGGCAATCACTGTCCTAATCCCTATTCTCTTCTTCAATTCACACCAGCTGTCAGATTAATCTTCCAGTAACACCAGCATTTCTGGTCTGGTCTTTGTCCTGTTTAGAAAATGCCAGTAGGCTAAAGACCCAACTCCCTGGGTCTGGGTCTCTGTTCAAATCTTCCTGCCTGCACTGTACTTGCCCAGCTGAACAAACTGTTTCCTGTTCCTCCTACCTACCTTTCACCGTCTGTCTGCTTGCCTTTGTTTCTGTGGCTCTCTCACTTCAATCTCTTCAGTCTGACCAACTTTTAAAACTCGCTGTATCCATTCCAGCAGGTATAGCTTAAAAAATAAATAAATAAAAACATCTCATTTTAAAACCCAGGGGATTTCCTGATACCCCAGCCAAAATTTCTTAAACCTCAGAATTCCCCCAAACACTTGCTTTTCATTAAAAACCTTACATCAGAGTTACAAGCAGGATGGTTTTTGGCTCCTCTCCTAGACTGTCTGCCATCTGGGGGCAGTGACAGCTTCGAAAATTGCTTTGCACAGAGCAGTACACTAAATAAGTAAAAGTTTACTGCCTTTGCAAACTGTGAAACGCCTACAGGAAGAGATGGGATTAAAAAACAATGACTTTAACAGAGAATGATCAATGTTTTTAAGATTCAAGTTTTAGATAAACTTGGAAATGTTATGCTTTGAAGTCTTCAGAGCTAGTATCTAAAGCAGATGGTTCAAATGTTCTCCTAAGGCTTAATGTGAATTTAGAATATTATAATTGAAACATTGGGGAGGGGGTATTAGGATTGAAATCTTATACCTGCATCCACAGATAAGAACACTTAATGCAAACAATTAAAGCTGCCTAAATCAAATTCTTTTTAAAACGGCAAAGTTTTTTGTTTGTTTGTTTTTTTAAGACAAAATAGGGATAGAATGTAGCTCTGGACAGAGACTATCTTGAGGAAATACAAATAGGGGTTCTTTAAAAAGCAGAAAACAATCAATTTCTCCTAAAGTGAAGGGGGGATGTATCAGATTTAACATTAAGCTCCCTTCTGCTCAATTGCTAACTCTGTTTTGAGGAAAGGGTCTTCTGAGACTCCGCAGCTATGCTGTCTGCAAACAATCCGGGGGAGGGGGTCCCTCTGCCCCACTCTGTCCCGACACTTTTCGCATTCACACCCTCTCCAGCTCCGTTTCCCAGCCTAACTGGCCTCCCCCTTTCCTCTGTCCTGGTCTCACCCGCCCCCGAGTCAGGCCCCAGCGTCCCTCCGCCCGAACGCCCAGTTTGTCGGGCCGCCTGCGTCCGTCGGGCCGCGCTCACCCAGGCCTCCGCTCAGTCGGTGCCGCCGCTCGGTTCGGCAGCCCGCTCCGCGCCTTATAACCGCGGCCGCCCGGCCAGGGCCCACGTGCCGCCACGCGGGGGAGCCTGGGCGTTGTAGTTCTGCGCCGCCGCCGGCCAGGCGCGCCCGGAACCGCCAGCCCCGAAACCTCTAGACGTTTTGCACACCCGGAGTTTGCCCTTTTTTCACCGGAACGACGTGGGCTGAAGTGACTCTGGCGCCGCACCCTGGCCTCCCGAGGATCCGGAGCATCCCAGTTGGCGGCCGGGTGCCCGAGAGCGCGCCGCTCACCCGCGCCACGCCGAGTCCAGACCTCCCCCTGCCCCCTGTGCACGCCGGTCCTTCCCGCGTGCTGGATACCTCCTCGGCCCCCCTCCGTCTGAATTGTCCTTCTCTTGCGCAGGGCTCTGCAATCTCCGTTATCTCGTGGTTCTGCGTTGTGAGGTTTGGGCTGCTGTTTCCCAGGCGTGCGGAGAACCCCAAGTAATAGTTTTTAGTATGTTCACAGAATTGTGCAACCCGTGTCACAGTTTTAGAAGATTTTCATCACTCCCTCCAAAAAAACCCCTAGCTATTAGTAGTCACTCATTTTTCTATTTCCCCCCCTACCCCCAGTCGTAAGCAGCCACTAATCTATAGGTTTGCCTGTTCTGCACATTTCCTACAAATGGAATTATATGCTTTGTGGTTGGTTGGTTGGTTTGTTTTTGAGACAGGCTCTCACTCTGTCACCTAGGCTGGAGTGCAGTGGCATGACCACAGCTCACGGCACCTTTGACCTACCAGGCTTAAACGATCTTCCCACCTCAACCTCCTAAGTCGCTGGGACTACAGGCGTGTGCTACTGCACTGGGCCAATTTTCTGTTTATATTTTGATAAACGAAAACCTTGATAAATATCTCACTGTTACCCAGGCTGGTCTCGGCCTCCTGAGCCCAAGAGGTCTGCCTGCCTTGAGCTCCCAAAGTGTGGGAGTGTGGGATTACAGGCATGAGCCACTTCACCCAGCCATGCTATGTGGTCTTTTGTGTCTGGCTTCTTTCATTTAGCATAACATTTTCAAGTATTTTATTCATTTTTATAGCCATTGTATGGCTATAACACATTTTTATCTTTTCCATTGTATGACTATATTACATTTTATTTACTCGTCAGTTGATGGACATTTGAATTGTTTCTACTCTTTGGCCGTTATGAATAGTGCTGCTATTGTAACTGCAGGTTTTAAGCCTCCTAGAATTTTGTGGTGTTCTTTATTTCTGTGGTGTTAGTTTATGGCATCTGACCTCTGTTCAGTTCCTCAGAAGCCCGAAGTCCTTACCAAGATCAGGGCTTTGGCATGTGACCAGGATGCTTTTCCAGCCTTTTTCTGATAAGTGACAGATGCAACCTTCCTAAGAGGGACCTCACTCAGATCTTCCCAATGTAGGTGACAACCCTTCCTTGTAACACCCAGTGCTTTCCCTTCTGATCACAACTTCTTGGTGTGGATGTGGTCTGTCCGTTCTGTTTCATGTGACACATGTAATGCCTATACTGCAGAAATGGTTGAAATAGTATGGCGTGCTGAATGGATGTTGGTAACTGAGAGCTGTGTGCTGGCTCTGTTGTCTGAACATAGACTTTACCACTGAGCGGTCAGGGTGACTCCTCCTCCTATGCAGTTCTCACCCTCCATTGGAAATATTCTCCTTCAATCTCTGCCTCTCTCTCATTTGTATTAAAATAATGAAAATATGTTGTATGGAAATATAGACATGAGACATGGAAAATTAACACTCCTGCCTTCTGCTCCATACTGTCCTCCCCCATAGGTTCTGCCCCATACTGGTTCTTTGGATTTTTAAAATAAACATACATGCAAGAAGAGTATACTGGTGCTCTTGACTTTTCAATTTGTAGAATATAGTTTACAACCTGGTTCAAGTTTAGTTTACAAGCATTTTCTCTCTCATGAATAAGGCAACAGTAGGAACCCTCCTGTCCAAGAGGGCTGGTGTGACACAGAGAGTAAGGACTGGACAAAGAGGACCATAATGCCTCTTTGTGACCAAGCAGGATGGATTCCTGGCATAGATTAAATCTGGGGAACATTGTCTTCTTGCTGAGTTTGTGACTTCCTTGTCCTGAATTGTATCTCTAGACCTATGTGGCCAGTGGGTTACATACACTCTTTTGTCACCACCTAAAAATGGAGAAAACCTTTGAAAATATGGGCCTACTTTGACCATCAGCAGGGAGAACACTGACAATTCCGTGAGTTGTAAACAGAAAGGAAAGTTACTGTTACTAATTTTGCCTATCAGGTCTTCTTTGACAATATTCAATTAATTGCAGAGGCAAAACTTCCTTTTGAAGAATGTGCAGCCTGTTTTAGCTATTGCCTACAAGGACATTAGACCTCTGAGAGGCACAAATGTGAGTTATGTTCTGCTTGTGACAGTATTGTCAAAGGTTCCCTCTAATCTTTTTTTTTTTTTTTTTAAGCCTACAGCACCCAGTATTCCCAGGCAGTCTCCCATCCAAGCACTAACCAGGCCTGACCCTGCTTACTTCCAAGATCAGACAAGATTGGGCATATTCAGGGTGGTATGACCATAGACCCCACCTAGATCTTAAAGGGTAATAAGCATATTTTCTAAAAACATTCCAAAGCTCAGCAGCTACTCATATTATAAATAAGGTAAAAACCCACCACTAGATGACAGTCTATCAGCAAAAATTGCTCCTTTATGACTTTTCTAGCCTCAACATTTCCGGGGACATCAGGGAACAACAAAAGTATTAGATAATAGTTTTCTGCTTCCACTCCCCGTCCTCCTCCTATGCAGTTTACACCCTCCATTGTAATTGTTCTTCAATCTCTGCCTCTCTCTTGTTTATATTAAAATAATGAAAATATACTGTGTAGAAACTTAGAAATGGGACATGGAAAATTAACACTCCTGCCTTCTGCCCCATACTGGTTCTTGGGGGTTTTTTAAATAAACATACCTATAAGAAGAGTACACCTGGTGCTCTTGACTTTTCGATATGTAGAGTATACTTTATTTTTTTATTTTATTTTTTTTGAGACGGAGTCTCGCTCTTGTTACCCAGGCTGGAGTGCAATGGTGCGATCTCGGCTCACCGCAACCTCCGTCTCCTGGGTTCAGGCAATTCTCCTGCCTCAGCCTCCTGAGTAGCTGGGATTACAGGCACACGCCACCATGCCCAGCTAATTTTTTGTATATTTAGTAGAGACGGGGTTTCACCATGTTGACCAGGATGGTCTCGATCTCTTGACCTCGTGATCCACCCGCCTCGGCCTCCCAAAGTGCTGGGATTACAGGCTTGAGCCACCGCGCCCGGCTAGAGTATACTTTAAAAGCTGGTTCAAGATTAGTTTATAAATATTTTCTCTCTCATGAATAAAACTCTATGTTTCCTTCAGCATTTAAGGTAAAAATGGGACAATTAGGAGAAATACATTTTAGCTCTTTTATGAAGAACTTCATTTTATGTCTCTTTTGAATGAAGGAAAAACTCCCTGGAAAAAGTTCAGAGTGTGAAATTTGAAATTTAACTTGCTGCCACCCGGGGCTGGTTTGATTCTAGGTAACTGCTGAATTTGGGTACTAGGAGTCGGGACTCCAGGAAGCTTGGATCCCTCCTGGGCAATGTGACTGATGTTGAGCCTCCTTTTCCCTTCTGCCTAAGCCTTCAGGACGCTGTTAACCTGGAGTAGCGCACTCAGATTCCAGCTTTCAGAGCGGCTTCCCCACTCGCCATTGGCCTGGTTCACTGGTGCCTGAGGAAAAGCTCCCAGAGGCTATTCCAAAGTCTCTCTTGTTACTACTGTGCTCCACTTCTCAGCTTTAGGTATTCTGTTATCTCTGTACCTGAATTCTGTTATTTCTGAAAGAAAAACATACAGCGTATATTCATGCATTTAAAGGTAGACCAAGTAGGCACAAAAAAAGTAAAATGTGGAACGCTATTTATTTCGTTCTAGCATTTGTATGAAAAGGAAAAAAGAGGTGTGTGTAGGAATATACTTGTATATGCGCACATATTTCCAGAAGGATACCAGTGATGTTCAGAATATTTAACAACTGGTTCGGCACTGACATGCAGAGATGGATGCTGGTCTTATGCTCAAGGGATCCTGGAGGTCCCCTAACATCTATGCTTTCACCCTGTAATGATGGATCAAGACTCTGGGGGGCAGCACTCCAAGGTCATGCCAGGCAGCTACCAACTGCTTCTCTGGGGAAGGGGGTTGAGGGCAGCAGGGACGTATTTTTTAATGTGCCCTTTAGTGATGTTTGAAAGGTTGTTTTTTGTTTGAATTTTATTTAACTAAGTGCACATAGGTAGAATTTCATTTTGTTTAGTTTAGGAGATAAGTCTTATTTTTAGAATTTGTTTGTAGACATTTCTGTCTAGTTATTTGCCTCCAGGCCATTTCTTTTAGTTTCATGTTGCTGAATCCTCCACTGGGAGCTCTCCGTAAGCTTCTTAAGCCCCTCTGTTTGTGGGGAAGGGAGGGCCAGGCTGAACTCCCTCTCACCATCTCTCAGTTCCCCCCAATCCCAACACTGGTGTCTGAGTCTCCTGTTGTTACTTATCTTGGCCCTCTTGTCTCTCCACCTACCAGACTTCAGTTCCATTATTAACCAGTATACGCATCACTCTGCTTAATCTTGTGATCAGAACATAAGTGCTTTTTTTTTTTTTTTTTTTTTTTTGGTGTTCCCACAACTTTTGTGCATGTAGGGACTTAGATTTCCTGTACACAGCAGCCCTAACAAGAATAGTTATTACATTAGTGGTAATACTCACATGGCAATGGCTTGAGCCTCCACCTGCCAAATGCAG